CCCCCCAAAAAAATGTCCGCCCGTCGCTAGAGTGTTCGGGTTTTGCTTGAAGAAAAGGTGGCAGCCCTATCTGGAAGCTTAATTGGCTCCAGTCTAAAGTGGCCCTCGTGTGTATGCATGTGAGATAGGAACCATAGATTGTAAGCTCCTTGAGGTCAGGGACTGATGTGAATGTACACCAGGGACGTGCGGTCAGGGGGGGCGGAGCCTCACATGCTATTATAGAGGACAAAGCTGACATCTTTTTCTCCATTCAGATCGGCTTATTACAGGTGACAGAGCAGGGAAAGCTACAGGCGGCGCTGCATCCGGCTATTGACAGCTAGTTAGGTTACACAGCGGCGGGCTTCCCCACTGCTTGTTTAACCTAACTTAGTGGGGTAAGAGCTGTCGCAGCTCTTACCCCACTGTGTAAATTGATGGCGCTTTATATTATTATACAGGATTTATATAGCGCCAACACCTGTAATAATAAATTGCAGCGACGCAGGTTTATACTGACCAGCACTACCGCTGCTGCTTACACATTGTTTATGTTTACATCTCCCTCTGGCCCCGAACGACTCGAATACGTCATTCACTGGGAGGCGGCAGCGGCGCGGAGTGACTTCGGCCCTCGGTCATTCTGTGTCTGTGCTGATGCTTAGTGAATGGATCATTGGAGTTATTCAGGGCCACAGGGAGATATAACCATCAACCAGGAGCCCGTCCATCTTCCCGCCTGTATCTCCGCTCACACACACTTGAAACATTTTAGGGTGTCTCACCAGCAGGCCCGGCGCTAGTATATGTAACATGTGCAGCACAATAGGCGCAACCGTCGTTTTCGCACATAGGCGCACCCGACGCATGTCTGCGTGTGTATGTGGGGGGGCGGGGGACTTTAACAAAAATTTTTTTTATACTTTCATTTTTTAATTACATTTTCTTTTTTTAACACAACTTTATTGCTATCACATAGGGGACTAAGAAGCTCCCTATGTGATAGCCAATTTACATGACAGGTCCTCTTCATGGAGACATCAGGGCTCACCAAGACCCCTAATGTCACCTAGGGAACCCCAGAGAAGCTGAGGAAGCACAGATCTGCTTCTGAAGCTGGAGAGTGACACTGAATGCAGGAAGTGATGTAATATACATCACTTCCTGCATTCGGGGACTGGAGATCAGAGGGAGGTCTTGTACCGATCTCTCTTTGACCTCCTGTCACAGAGCAGCTGCACCGGGCACATCGGGTCTCGGGACCGGCAGTGACAGGTTCTCTTTGTGGCTTTTATAATGGTAATTGTAACACTTCAATCGCTGTACATTTCGGGGGGAACAATCCTGCGCTGATCCAAGAGATTGGGCGTCTCTTGAATGTAAAGCTCTCGGCCGGCCGTTTAATTGCAACGGCCGGGAAGCTACTCGTCGTCGGGCTCCGCCTACCACTCGTCACAGATGAGAGGACGAGCAGATCTCTCAAGCCCCGTTCATGTATGTGCACAGGAGATGAGAGGAGATGAGTTGCACTTCGGATCCGGTTCTCGTGTATGAGGTCACAGAGCAGGGCCGGTGCTAGGATTGTAGTCCAGGTGGGCAAGGTGCAATTTTGCGCCCCCCCCGATCCCGACCCCCACCCCCTGTATGGACCAGCGCTGACTCGCCGCTGCTCTCCCGCGCCGAAGGTAAGTAAAAAAAAAAACGTAGCGCAAGCATCGGGGCATTTTGGCAAGTACAAGTACACAATGCCCTGTTTTTTCCCGCCCTCACCCTGCAGCGCCTTCAGGCGCCCGCCTGACTTGCCTTGCGCTAGCGCCGGGCCTGTCGCAGAGTTCCTGGTAGGGATCGCAGTGAAACGTTACATTCCGTGTCTCTGGTTCGGCAACGATGAATCATTTTTATACCGGCGTCCGTTCAGCTTTCACAGAAAAATCACTTCAGGATATGAAAATAACTTTATTTACATTTTTTGGGGTTTTGCGGAGCGACGGGTAATCGGTACAAAGGTAAAAAAAAAAAAAGCCAAAATGTACAAAACGCTTGTTGTAGAAAAATAACTGAAAAAAACAACAACCCTCCTCTGTACAAAATTCAATTCTGTAAGTTAAAAAACAAACTGCGTTCCTGTGAGCGAGGTCTACTC